AAAGCAAAAGAGGACAAGGCACTGCAAAATAAAGGGCATTCAAGAGAAACTGAAGCCATTACAAAATTACAGCTAAAAACACTCCTAGAATCGTAGAACTGGAAAAGATCCCAAGGGCCATCAAGTACAATTCATATAAATGCAAATTCATGTGCATATAAAGTCATGTGCAAAATGGAGGACATTTTGGAATTCCTCCTGGACAGAAGGCTGAAATGTAGAACATGTCCCAGAAAAGGAGGACATCTATTACACCTATGTGAACGGAAGAATCCCATTCATACCAGATTCTGGTCTCTTTCCTATCCCACATGCTCCCTTCTAAAAAGCAAAGGTAACTTATTCTTCCAATCATACATATATTCCAGTTTCTTCTTCCTGCACACATATACTCTCCCTTCTAAGCAGGCAAAGAAAACCCTTCCTCCAAAGCAAAATTCCACTTCTTTCATGCCCTTCATTTATGCCCTATTAAGCAGGCAAAGGAAACCCATGCCAACCAGCAATGCCAACACTTCAGTTCATTTCTCTCCATCTCCAGCCTGAGCAGATAAGATAAATCCAGTCCTATCACCTTTCATTACCTCTCAAAACCACACCAAGTCTCACCTCAGTCTCACATTTCTCCATGCTGAACGGCATAGATGCACAGGAAAAGCTGTGCATTGTAAAATTTCAGAGACATAGCCATGTTATTCTGGAGAATCAGTATGCAAAGACAGTGGCATCAATATGGTTGGCGTCGCAACAGTGCAGTAACTTAGGCCGTCAACCCCAGGTTGCCTGGCATAAACCCCAGCTGCCCTCCTCTGTTACCTAAATTGCAGAGGGGTCTCAAGAGGGCACCCACAAATTGTATAAAATGGGGAAATTGTTTTAGCTCAATGGGAAGCAGTGAGAGGGCTTTGGTAACATAAAGCCAGAAGCTTTGTATACCAGTTCTGAATCCAAAGAACTCCAGAAGCAGGTTCCAAATTATTTAGTTTATTTATAAAAAAGGGATCAACACACACACACTGAACACACGCTCTCTCACACACAGAAGAATGGCAGTAGAAAACAGCAAGTTGCAGGGTTGTAGAGAGGAAATACTGTACCAATCCTGAGGCATAGATCCAGTCTGAGAGTTACCAGAATGATGATGGCTTGATAGCTGCCTGTGGTTCATGAGGTGGCCAGCTACTGAGGTGTCCAGCCGAAATCGAACAGAGATTCTGTCCAGTTCCAAACTAAACCAAATTGCTATTGTCTAAGCATGTATATTTATAGCCATAAATGAGTCCTGGGGCAGTGTTTCAAGAGCTAAATGGTTTTCCAGAAGTTAAATGGCATGAATGTCCTCAAACAAAAAGAGCTTCATTCCCAGAAGGAAACTCCCTTTGTCTGCTACATGCAAGCAATCACCAGGTCCAGTTTCCATCATCACACTCCTTGGTGAAGGGGTTATGCTGATTCCAATCTTGAGCGATTTCATCACGGCTAAGTGCCCCAGCTTCCCCCATGCTGAGCCATCCAGACTCCTTGATATGGTATGGCTGATTTCCTGCACTGAGGTGCCCTCTTTTGTCTATCTGCCTGTAACATCCATTTTTGATATTGATGTAATCCAACAAGGGGTGATTGGGGGCTGGACCCTGGGGTAACACCTCTGCCAGCAAAGGTGCCCCTGCTGATACCCAGCTCCCTTTTCCTCCTAGCCAGCAGTCTTGCCAGATCCAGAAGGCAGACCCTTTCCACCAGCGGTTGCTAGTGGGCTGCTACTGCTGCCTGGCAATTATTTCCAGGGCTGCTGGTCAAGCGGGAAAGAGAGGCAATTCTCTTTCCTGCCCAGCCAGTAGCCCTTCCAGATCAAGAAGGGGTCACTACATAGCCACAGCATCCCACCCCTCACCAGTGGCCACAGCCAATAGAGGCACCATGGCTGGCAGAGGGGAGCAGCCAGAGGGGGTCTTGGAATGGACAAGAGCAACTGCCCCCCCCACCAAATGTTCATCCCCTCTGATTCAGTTTGCACCCCCTGTGCCTCCCTAGTCATGCCCCTGTGCAAAGGGATCATGTACCATCTTTGAGACTAACCAAGTGAAAATAGTTGTAGCATAAGTTTTTGCAGCCTTGGGGGCTTTGCAGACTGCCAGAAATAGTGCAAATTGAGTCCACTTTAACTGTCCTGGCTCAGTGCTAGGGAATCATGGGAACTGTATTTTTTTTTTCTGAGACATTGAGCCTTCTCTGTCAGAGAGCTCTGATGCCACAATAAACTACAGTTCCCATGATTCCCTAGCACTGAGTCAGGGCAGTTAAGGTGGCCTCAATTTGCACTATTTCTGGCAGTCTGCAAAGGGCCTTGGTCTACTTCCTCAGGTTCATGAAGGAAGTACAAGATCACTTTGCATTATAACACATTTACAGTTGGCCTTCCATATCCACTGATTTTTCATCCATGGATTCAAGCATCCATAGCTTGAAAATATTACATATATATATATATATATATATATATATATATATATTCCAAAAAGCAAACCTTGATTTGCCAATTTATTTAAGGGGCACCATTTTACTGTACCATTGTATTTAATGGGACTTGAGCATCCATGGATTTTGATATCCATGGAGAGTCCTGGAACCAAACCCCAGCAGATATCAGGACCCTAGTGTATTTATTTATTTATTTATTTCTGGAAAAATAAATTTAAACTTTTAAACTGAGGTAAAACAAATTGTGACTGGTCTGTACACAAAATTTATGCCCTGGAACTCTTTAGACATCTGTTCTGATGTACTTGAAATGTGAACAATATTTCAAATCAATACTTCACAATTCAAGAGAGTGTTTTCCTTTCCAATTTTGATTAAGCATACTCAGTTACAAAATATTGTTAAATAAAATAAGATGTTGTCAAAATGTTGCCAATCTTTGAATCTGATGGTATGAAACAACATCCTTAGTATGTCCTTAATTTTCCACAGCAATATTGGAAGATTTTTGCACTTACAGTTCAATCAAAATCAATTCACATCTGAGTTGAGTCTTGTAGAATCTAGTCTTTGCTTGACTTTCAGGTTGCTTTTGATACTATATAAATTCGATGGGCTAAGATCAACCATGAGATATGCCAATCTGCCCCCCCACCCAGTCCTTCAGCTTGAGAGTGTGCTTAGCAATATTTGTATGTGTGTTTCTTAGTTTATAAATTATGCAAAGTTTCTGATTTTCTGCATGTTGCTTTCCATACCCAGATCAAAAGCATGCAAATGCAGTTTTCCTTTTGCTATTTGCAAAGAGTATAGGGCTTGAATTCATTAATAATAAAATAAACAAGCACATTTACACACGGAAAACAAATCTTCTGCTAGATGAGCAGACTGCATTCATTGTGTAATGTATTGTGACGGTTTAAAGTAAATAGCCCTATGAATTGTGAAATTGTTCCACTAGCAATATCACTATATTTATGGTTGCTGCTGCTGCTGCTGCTGCTGTTGTTAACTGCCCTCATCAACCCTGATTCATGGTGACCTTGTTAATGAAACAACTCCAAGACCTCCTGTCCTCCACTGCTTTGCTTAAGTCTTGTAGATTCATGCCTCTGACCACCCTAACTGAATCTGTCAATCTGGTGTGTGGCCTTCCTCTCTTTCTACTATCTTCAGCCTTTCCTAGCATTGTCTTTTCTAATGAGTCCATCTGCCATGGTCCGGGCTCCAGAGGGAGAGAAGAACCACTAGACTTATTCCCCTTCCACACTGCCATTCCCTTCTCCTTTTGTGTCATGTCTTTTTCGATAGTAAGCCTGAGGACAGGGACCTGTCTAATTAACTATCTGTAAGCCGCTCTGAGATATAAATACATTTTATTATTATTATTATTATTATTATTATTATTATTATTATTATTATTAGAGTCATGTCTTCTTTGAACACATCGTGGGAAGGCACGACTCATTGGAAAAGACAATAGTGCTAGAAAATGTGGAGGGATGTAGAAAGAGAACAAACCTGCAAGCTGGATGGGTGAACTCTGTTAAGGAGCTCATGGATATGAATTTATAGGACCCAAGCGGAGCAGTGGAAAATAGGGAGGCTTGGAGATGTCTCATCCACAGGGTCACCATGAGTCTGGATCAACTGGAAGGCAGTTAACAACAAAAAAAAACATGTCTTCTCATGATGTGGCCCAAGTATGACAGCCTCAGTTTAAACATCTTGGCTTCCAGGGAGAGTTCAGGCTTGATCTATTCAAGGACCCATTTGTTTGTCTTTTTGGCCAATGATGGTATGGTCAGCACTCTTCTCCAGCACCACATTATCTTACCCACTTTCTTCCCAGTCCAGCTCTCACATCCGTACATGATGATGGGGAATACAATGGCTTGGATGATTCTAACTTTAGTGCTCAGTGGTATCTCTTCACTCTTTAATGTCTTGTCTTATTCTTTCCTTGCTGCCCTTCCCATTCCTAGCCAGATTAATAGGAACAATTGATTTCCCTGGTGTTAGGAGACCTGGAATGCTTCTTGGATAGCAAGTGAGATCAAATGAATCATTTTCCATGAAAACAGAGGGACAAAGATATGATTGTCAGAAATGAATTGTTCTGTATCACTTGCACTGAGTAACCAGTATGACTCCCTTGCCAAGAAAATCCCATGATAAAACCCTTGGGGTCGCCATAAGTAAGGAATGACTTGAAGGCACATAACAACAACAACAAATGACCCCCTTACTCATGGAGTTGGCAACCATGGTTTGACTTACCCATGCCTGGGGGAAGTCTTTCTAGGCATCTGGAGGTCCTCCAGCACAACTCTATACTTCTGGCAGAAATATAGGATTGCCATTATCCATAAATTTTGCTAACTGCAGTAGGTGGGGCATGCTAATGAGAAACATCCTGTGGTACTCTGAAATATTGAACTCTGGCATTTTCAGTGAAACTTCTTCTTCATTCAGTATTTTGTTGTTCCTTGCCAACTTCAACTTATAGGAACCCTATAAGTGCCAGAGTAGCAAAGTGCTCTGAGTGCTGGACTATAACTCTGGAGACCAAGGTTCAATTCCTTGCTTGGTCGTAAAACCCACTGGATGACCTTGGGGCAAGTCACACTCTCTCAGCCCCAGGGGAAAGCAATGGCAAACATCCTCTGAACAAATCTTGCCAGAGAAAACTTAGAGTCACCATAAGTGAGAAACAACTTGAAGGCGCAGAATAATGATAATAAGTAATGAGTGAGATAAGAGCCTAGTCGAGCATCTCAGGCAAATATCTTCCATACTGGAAAAGGTTTCGCTTTGTTTTTCTCTATTAACCTATGTGAAGGTGAGGAAGTGAAATGGAGTCTAATTCCTTGGCAGAAGAGTCAAAAAGAGACAAGGGGGGCAGAAAACTGGCAACCTTTTAAAAAGGCAAAAGATTTATACTATCTGAAGAGAAACCAGAGTGTTTAAAAACTGGCAACCTTTGAAATCAATGGTATGGGAACAACTGAGTCTTCAGATTTTGGAGGGCAATTCCTATGAGCCTCAACACAGATCTCAACACAGGGATCCTTAAGCGAAAGTGAAAATTGTTGATCATGGACAACCAAGTCTTGAGAAGCCACTCCATAATCTTCATGAAAGGACCAAAGTGTATGTGACATCAGTTATGCCATTAACCCTTGTATGATTGTTTTCTGTTATTAAGATTGAAATCAAGGGTTAGAATCCTATTTAATATGGTTTTGACATGATTAAAGTGGATTCCCATACTATATTATTATTATTATTATTATTATTATTATTATTATTATTAAATCCCAGCTTTCTCCCAACATAGGGACTCAAGGCAGCTAACAACAAATTTAAAACAATACAAATTAAAAACAATGCAAAGCATTGAAAATTGTAAATATATCATTTTTTAAAAAAAATTAGACATTACAATTAATCATTAAAAATAAGAAAATGTATTTTTTTTTAAAAAAAAAAATTGTATACAAACCTTGAAATCTGAATCACTCAGCATTTAAAAGCCCAACCCACATCAGTCTGAAAAATCCTGACGGCACAGGCTTCACACCATCTCTGTTCTATGGATTCCTGAGATTTGTAGTTTGGTGAGATATTTAGTATTTTCTGTCAAAAAGCTCTAGTGCTATAGTTTAAAGGATTGCTAAGGACCTTGTCAAACTACAAAATCTCAGGATTCTGTGGAGCAGACCCATGACAGTTAAAGCAGTATCAAAGTGCTATAATTGTGTTGTATGGATACAGCCAATATCTAGTCTCCTTCTCAGAGGATGGCAAAGCAGATTTGAACCACAGTATGGGAGCAGAGGATCCTTCAACATTTAAATTATCATCAACAAATATACATCTTTGTTCTCTTTTGTCCTTTGTTTTCTGTGATTAATTTCCTCTCTCTTTGTAATATGTTGGCCATTCTCATGATACCACAAAAGACAGATGCTCCCCTCAGAAAAGTGTGTATATGATTTTTTTTCCTTCACTAGAAAAATCTGAATTTAGGAAGGAAAAGTTACAATCGACTTCCATTTTGTTACAGCTGCTGTAAAACCGGTATTTAAATTGTGCTTTTGGCATGGCAGGTGAGGGAAAATATAAAAATTAAAATCTATTAGATAAAAATCTGCTGCCATTTTCAGGTAATATCATAAGAGGAAAGACAAAAAAAAAGAATGTATCCTAAGAAAAATAAGAGTCTTGGACCATTGATGTTGCACTAAAAAGGAGAATGAGTGGAGAGATTTTTCCCTCTTAGCTTTGGTATCCCTTTCTGTCATTTTTGTGGAGCTCTATGTTATTAAAGTGCTCTCTGTTCGTGCAGTTTTTGAGATAGCTATCTATCAGTATGGCTATTAGGAAACTCAATTTTTATAACTGGGATAAATATATATATATATTTGCTTGCTCTCCACTCTTCCTTCTAAAAGGACAGTTTGTTCATCTTTCCCATTTCACTTTAAAAATCTCAGTTTTAGCCCATTTTCTGTATTTATGAGGATCCACCTGAGCTGCAACTCGGGATGCTTAGACCTTAGACTAGTGAAGGTCCGTGGCTCACTAGCTTTTTGTTGGGAGAGAAGGACTTCAAGACAAAAGGCAGAGGGGCAACTTGGTCTTCTAACCATGCTGTCAAGATCCCATTACCCCAAATCTGTGGTGGATGATGTTCTAGTGTCACAATGAATCACTGGGTTTTAGTGTGAACTATAAATTAGCTATGCTTCAGACTATAACACAGGTACACTGCCCAACTGACATCAGAGCCACCAGCTCCCACAGTTCATAGCACTACTTTTTTGTTGTGAAAATCTATCATCTTGCACCCACTGCTATTGTGAGTATTGCACCTAAGTACATAAAGCATAAAGATGGTACAAAGAGCAGGCTTAGACTCAGAAGGAGGAGTGAAGATGGGAGGAAGGAGCATCAACAATCCAAGATAAGCAGATGACACCATACTACTAGCGGAAAACATCATAGACCTGGGACATTTATTAAGGAAAGTTAAAGAAGAAAGTGCAAAGCCAGGCTCACTGCTGAACACAAAGAAAATAAAAATAAAGACCACAGAAGTCGTAGGCTTTCCTGACCAGCATCCATAGTTTTTTGTGGCTTTTTCGGGCTGTGTGGCCAATGGCCACACAGCCCGAAAAAGCCACAAAAAAACTAAAGACCACAGAGAAGTTACATAAATTCAGCCTAGATAATGAGGGAATCAGAATAAAGTTGTCCCTTCCGATTCGCTGGGGATCTGTTCCGGGGCCCCCCACGAATCGGGAAAATCGCCAATATTGTAGCCCTGTTGATAACAATGGGGGCACGCTCCTGCGCACAGTGCTGCACACATGCCTCAAGTACACGGATCATTATGTCCCTCCCGGCTTGCCGTCCGCAAAGGATCAAGACTGCAGATGGCAAGACCGTGAATGTGGAGGTACGACTTTAGTTACAGATTTCCCATACCTTGGATCAAACTTTAATCAGAATGGGGACTGCAGTCAAGAAATCAGAAGAAGATTAGAAATGGGAAGGGTAGCCATGAAAGAACTAGGTAAGGTCCTAAAGTGTAAAGATATACAAATGAATAGTAAAGTTAAAATCCTCCAATCCGTTGGTTTCCCCATTACCATGTACAGAAGGGAGAGCTGGACAATGAAGAAAGAAGGCAGAAGGAAAATCAACTCATTTATGATTAGGTGCTGGAGAAGAGTGCTGAAGATGCCGTGGATGGCCAAAAAAGACAAACAAATGGGTCCTAAAACAGATCAAACCTGAACTCATCCTGGAAGCTAAGATGATTAAATCAAGGCTGTTGTACTTTGGCCACATGAAAAGAAAGCAGGATTAATTAGAAAGGACAATAATGCTTGGTAAGGTCGAAGGTAGTAGCAAGAGAGGAAGATGGCACATCAGATGGTTAGACTCAATCAGGGAGGCCATGGCTCTACATCTACAGGACCTAAGCAGAGCAGTGGAGGACAGGGAACCTTGGAAATGTCTCATTCACAGGGTTGCCATGAATCAGGGCCAATATGAAGGCAGTTAAGAATAACAAATAGAAAGCATAGGGAAGTTTGTACAGACTTTGGAAGCAACACACTACAATTAATAATGCTGTCTGCAACATGTTATTTTTTGAGGAAAGGAGGGCGTAAAATATTATTTTATAAAAAAACCAGGATGAATGGTAGCGCTGTTACTTTTTATGGTGTAACAAGTGATATTTATCATTACTCCTATATATTTTTTTTCACAACAAGATTTCATTTTGGAGAATTGGGGGCCATATTTTTTAAAAAAATTGAATTCAGAAATACAACATTACTTGTGCGCACAAGTGCACATATGCATGCATAATAGACACAGACTGAAAAGCTAGCATCCTGTTTGTGGCATACATATATGTAAGTCCAGCTATGCATGAAGGGTGAATTAGTTGCCATGATGCAATGATGTATTTGGCTGACAGCAGTGGAAATGGAGCCATGCATACAGTAATGTTGTGCATCACAATTGCATGTTGCACAATGGTTCCCAGTCATTAATGTGTCTTGCACAATGTTGCTGGTCTGCATGGGGTTTTTGTAGTGCTGACACAGTTTATTTGGTCCTAGATTGGTCCGCCACCGGGCGGTATATAAATAAATTTTATTATTATTATTATTATTATTATTATTATTATTATTATTATTATTATTATTATTATTATTATTATTATTATTATTTAAACTAAACCTCCAGCTGAGGGGAAAAAAAACCCTGTATGTCCCAGGTTTTGTTCCTGTACAAACCAGTTTTATTTTGGAGATCCACATCATGTTTTCTTCACCCTGAAGTATTTCCTGGGAATTCCCAGCACTACCAAGGGCTTTTCATTATTGCTTCCCAGGTTGGTTTAAATTAACCCAGACCATTCCAAAATGAAATGTATCTGTACTTGCCTGTCTGTTTGTACAAAGAGATAGATATGGATCAATATATCTTGTTTGAGGCCTCTTACAGGATGCCTTAGAAGGACTCTTATGATGACCACCTACACTTTGAAATTTGCCATTGTACCACTGAATATAAGATAATTAATATGCACGCTAGGGTCTTTACAGGTGCATTTGTCCATGTCGTGGAATCTAAAACTCTTTGATTCAGGTGTTGACTTAAGTAGACAACCTATCAGGGTGAACAGATGTTATAGCCACAAAGAAGGACAAGGCATGTGTAGACCAGAAAGATTAAATAAAACTTTTTTAAAAGTTATATAAATAATAAATGCATAAAATAACACCAGGTAGACTTGCTTCCCCTTCAAGAAAAAATGCAGGACATTTACAAATAAAAGCTAAAACCTTTCATTATAAATGTAAATTCATGCTTCTTAGTCATGCTCAGCCTAAGGACATTTTGAAATTCTGGCTCAACCATGTGAACCCACTGGGTGACCTTGGGCAAGTCACACTCTCACTGCATCAGAGGATGGCAATGGCAACCCCCCCTCTGAACAAAACTTGCCAAGAAAACCCCAGGATAGCTTTGCCTTAGAGTCACCATAAGTCAGAAATGACTTGAT